AAGAATTACAAGTTGGGGATTTGACTCTACCATTGATATTTTGGTATTCAATATCGAAAAGAAAGAAGGGCCATCTACACTCCAAATTAGGGAGTTTTCAATTTTATCATTGACTTTGGGATATCAATATTGGAAAAAAAAAGAGAAAAGAAAAATGTGAAAAATGATGATGAAATGAAAAGAAAAGAAAAAGCAAAGACATCCAATGCTGAATTCCCCTAGTGATTGAGAAAAAAGAGAGAGAGTCAAATGGGGTCCCGGATTTTAAATCCAAAATTGGGGCAATTTTTTAAGGAATGCGATCTTAAGTGCGTTGTCCTTGAAAAGTTTATTTCTTTTAGCTATCGTTGTTAAGCCACATTACAAGCTCATAAAGTCCATTGCTGACTTATCTTTCATGACAATTTGAAGTGAAAATCTTGCCTCTAAGGAATCTTCCAATCATCATGATCATAAGGCCATAACCTGTTTTTATATGTTTAACTATCGTTTCTACCCATATATTACAAGCCTATACAGCTTATATGTTGACTGAGTTTTCTCAAGAAATAAGAGTGATAAACTATTTGCTTTCACCAAGATGTGATATTGAATGTGCTAGATACAATTTGGGCAAAAAAAAAAAAAAAAAAAGAGACAGATCCTGACATACCATTCCCCTGAGCCATCTCAAAATCCTGAATAATATCCATTTGATTGGTCCTAAAAGATGAGCTTATAAGAAAAGTGATCCTTTTCCCTCAACACCAATCCCAAAAAAGGAAGAGATCTTTTTCAATTTGGTCTTATTTTGAGGGATTTATCATGGAATCTTCTACATGAGTTTGGATATGATATTTAAATTCTTCATTTGAAAAATGTAGTTTCTATTCACATTGTATGTGATTATTTTGCAACTAAAATAACCCAAATCTGGGGAAATTTTTTGTAATATATTGTGAGATTTCACCAAATAAGTTCAAATTGAGGCAAAAATTTTATAATACATTTGTAGGGTATGTCCAAGATCAAGTATATATTTTTTAAAATCTTGATAAGTCAATACTTTGCATGAATTTAATTGTTACATCATTGCTAAAAAAAAAAAAACAAAAAACAAAAACAAAAAAAAGAATAAAAAAATTGAAAATTCAAGTGCTTTGAAAAATTCCCCTTATGCAGGTGTTTATGGTTGAGATCGAGAAAAAGTGCAATTCAAAACTTGCAAATTTGGAGATTAATCACGAATAAAATGGAGCAATAATGCTACATTGCAAAGTGGAGGATCGGCTATTTGCTCAAAAGGAGTACATACTTCAGCAGCCATCTTGAAAAAAAAAGAAAAGAAAAGAAGGAGGAATGAAAAAAAAGAGAATAAAAAAAAGGAAAAAAATGGAAAAAAAAAAGAAAAAAAAGAAAAAGAAAAAAAGAGAAAAGAAAAAGGGATTGAAAAAAAAAAGAAAAAGAAAAAGAGAGTTTTTCCTTTGATTTTGCGAAATTTTGCAATTGAACTCTGGGAGCATTTCATTGGAGATTACATTTCTAAGTTGGGGCAACACCTTGCCCTCTTATGCTTCGAAATGGAAGTGATAATACATGCCAAAACCGAGATCCCGTCCTTGCACATTTTGACAAAGGCTCAGGCAGAAAAATCAAATGGATTAAAGAGCACAATGAGTTGCTGTCTCTAACTGATGAAAAAGAGGTTGAATGTTTGCATGGACAATGCTATCATCAAATGATGGTTCGTTGGTTATGACAAGAAAGACAAATCTCGCTTATTTGAAGTGAGGATAAGGTTTTGAAGTAAATTCTTCCGATTCAAGAGGAGGTTAAAGAAAAGTTTGCTCCAACTTGGCAAGGGCATTTATTGTTCAAAGAGTGCTATCCGGAGGAACATCCATTCTTACAGAACTGGATGGACAGGTTTTTCCTCTGCAATCAATTCAGACATGTGTAATAAATTCTTTATCTGATTATCTATGGCGGATCAAAGGCGAGCCTTCTTCTTTTCTCTTTGAATCTTACCCTAGTTTTCCCCATTGAACCTCCAGAATAATTTAACCTTCATTTGATAGCCCTCCTAAAGATTGCAGTAAATTTTTATCTCCTATTTGTCATAATCTCCTCGACTCTTACGTGGTAAAAGTGCAAAACGGCCAATGGCGGCCTATTAAAATGACATATGTCTACCAATTAACCGTAATTACCACCGTTTACCGTTTACCGTTTATCGTTTACCGTTTACCGTGTTTACTTACCGTTTTCTAATATATGTGGTTACTGATTTCTTGATTATCATAAATTATATGCTCATATGAAGTTGTCCATCATTGTTAGGCGAGTGTGTACTTTACCTCCCTCGACCTATTCAAATGATGAATTTTACTTTTGTCGAATTACTTTGTTACCTGTGCATGTTGTAAGCTATAAGCTGAACTTGGGCCCCGCCTCGGTTACTGACCTACTCGAGCCAGGACTGGGCTCGGTCGGGTAGGTTGGAACCCTGGACAACCGTTTCGGTATACTCGAGTATTACCACTGGAGGGATAAGGTGATGGCCAGTCAACCGTGGGGATCCGGGAGTTATAAGGTGCAGATGACCGACAAATTTCCACTGGAACACCGTATCCTTTTGTGGTTGCTTTGCTATTATAATGTTATTGCTCTCCTAGTTGGCATTCTCGGGTAAGACTCCTCATGAGCATTAACCTCTGAGATGAAGCAATCCTTGTAATGTCCTTCTAGTCGGACGAGCCACTATTTGTTTGACTGAAAATTTATGAAAATATATTTATATGGCCATTCATTCCAAAAGTACTAGTTCTACATGTGTTTTCAAAGTAGCAATTACCCGTGTAATGATTATCACCTCATGGTAACATGCCATTGTGTAATCTAGAATCATGCATACGATATGCATAACTTACTTGACCTATTTGAACTGTTAGAGCGTCTTGGAACCTCACTGGGCTGTGTAGCTCATCCCACGTTGTGGTTTTCTTTTACAGGTTCTGACAACTGAGGAAGACTTGAGATCTACTTGTACTTTAAGCATGTAGTTTGAATTAAACAATGTAGCTTTTGTTTCGGGTTGCCACTTGAAGCTGGAAAAGTGTAACCCTTGAATTTGTATGTGGCTTGTATGAAATTTGTTACTTGGCTTATAAGGATGTATTTGAATTATATGTTTTGTTTCTTGGGTTGTAATCGGGAAGGTATTTTAAGAATCGACGTTAGCTATCTTAAGGCACTGCTATCTCTGAAGTTAATGTGATTCTAGAGACCGGCCTATTTGGAGGGAAACGATGTTGCAATAGATTAGGTTATACTTCGGAAGGACTTTTGCTAGCTGCTTGCGTGAGTCCTGGCGAGAGTTGGGCAGACGGCCCGCCAACCCTCTGGTTCGCCTTAGGGGGAAGTGGGGTCGCCACATCCACGACTTCCGAGGAATCAGGTACAGGTTGGTCATCTATAGCATACACTCTAGCAGAAACTGTCGGCCGGCTCCCTCCAGCTGTGTTTGGTCTAGCGTTCGAAGTAGTCCCCCCTCCCACTTTTTGGACATCCAGAAATTTGGTATTCACTATTTCCGCATCTCAAGCACTTTCCTTGCTTCTTCCAACAACCGTCCATAGTATGGCCAGGTTTCTTGCAATATGCACAAGTCACTTGAGGAATTATTGCTCGGCCTCCTTGCGAGGTATTCCTAGATTGTCCCCTTCTATTCGGTCCCCTTCTAGCTCCATTATCTCTTCCCCCTGCATTCCTTGCCCCGGTTCCTCTTACTAGAGCGCCTCGTGGTACTCCAGAATTAGTCACTCCACTGGTTCCTCGGCCCACTTTGGCCGGTAGAGCATTCCCAAAAGTCGACTCCCGACTACTATTAGGAGCAAATCTTTTCTTGGCTTGAAAAGATTTCACTTGGGCTGTGACTACTTCAACTCGTTGGGCTCTCTCAACGGCATCTGCAAAAGTATCTATCCTTACGGCAGCTAAACCTTCCTATATTTCCACATTCAGTTCTTGTACAAATCTTCTGACACGCCTTTGCTCCGTAGCTATCAATTCAGGAGCAAAACGGGATAGTTTTGTGAACTGGACTTCATATTCGGCAACACTCATCGCCCCTTACTTACATCTAATGAAATCATCCTCTCTCTTCTCTTGAATGAGAGGTGGAAGAAATTTGGCATTGAACTCCCTTGTGAAGTTCGCCCAAATTCTTGGAGTATGGTTCCTATCCCAATTAACCCTCACCAAGTTCCACCAGGAGCGAGCGGCTCCCTCAAATTGGAATGCGGCAAAAATCACTTGTCGCTCTTCCGTTTAGTTTAGAGCTGCGAAGATGTCGGAGATTCTCTCCCACCATCCCTCAGCTACCTCCGGTTCGGGTCCTCCATAGAATTTAGGAGGTCCAAACTTCAGAAATCTCTCTAAGGCCCGATCCTCCGTTTCGGCTGGGCCTCCTTGGCGGTGCACAGGTCCACAGGCTTGGTGTTCAGTCAAGCGCTCTAAGACGTCAGTTATACGGTTAATTGCGGTGGCCATTTGATTATCGGCCACTCCCTCTTGCCCTTGGTCTCGATTGACCTCGGGTTCCCTATCACCACCCACTTTCGGGTGTTGTCTAGTGGTTCTCCCACGACTCCTTTCTTTCACTTGGCGATCCATTGCCTAATTATGCCTATTACGGAAGGGTAAGACAATTAGGCAAAAATTTTTATTTATTTCTAATTATTATTATTCTTTATGTGGTTTAAATCAACATGGAAATGGAGGACAAAAAAAAATGGAACACTTATCATATATTTCCACGAAAAAGTCATACAAATAACGGGTTGGGATATTTCCAAAAGTAAGGCACATAAGCTAGCAAAATTCATAAACGAAATCCCTTATACCAAAAATTAAGAATATGGTGCCTCGAAAGCAAGTCATCCACCTAGACAAAATCTGGCGACTTATCTAATGCCGCTTTTGCTAACCCTACGTATCTAGCACTATCAAGTCAACCTAACCTAACCCTCAGCAGGGCTATCAGGGACGACGTCCTCAGCCGGATCCTCTTCCGGGTCCTCCTCTGGATCCTCCTCTGCGCCTGCCTGCTCGTTACCCTGAAGGTAACTAGTGGCCTCGTCCATTAGCATATCGGCATCAGCCCTGATGCCGGCACTCCTATCACGGATCTCCTCATCTAGTCGGGTCACCCTAGACCTCTATCGCTTTATCTCTACACGAGCGGCCTCCAGCATATGATGCTCAGCAGCTAGCCTAATCTCCAAATCGGCTATGCGGTCGAACTGGATATCCACAAGTGGCGGTGCTCATCATCAAGGGATAACACCAAGTCGTTGGGATACGTGTACGTGGCTCTACACTGATATCTAGGGTGCCTATCAGCAGGTGAGTATCGAACTCGGTCTTCTCCACCTCGAGGCCTATAAGAAATAGATCTTAGCGGCTCTACATGTCCATTAGCCGCATAACTACCATTACCATGTCCATTACCATTCTCCATACCTGCAAAATAATCAATACTTAAAGGTTAGAATTTAAATAGCTAACTGGATCGGATATCACTTAAGGTATATCTAATGGTCTCAATTTTTATTCCTAGAGAGGATTAGGGTTTCTAGCACACCTAATATGTTTCTTGAATAACTTTTCTAACCTAAGCTCTGATACCACCTGTGGCGACCCCACTTCCCCCTAAGAGGAACCAAAGGGTTGGCGGGCCGTCTGCCCAACTCTCGCCAGGACTCACGCAAGCATTTATCCCAAATCTTTTCGAAGAATAACGTAATCTATTACAAAACAATTCTCCCGAAGTAGGTCGTTACTAAAAGCACATTAACTTCAGAGATAGCCGTAATTTGGAATAGCCAAACGGCGGCTCCTAAACATTTCGCGCGTTGCGAACTGCGGAATAGAATCGTACCGTCCCAACTAAGCAAAAATTCATACAACAAAATACAACAATCAAGCCAAGCATCCAAATTAAGTTTTACACATTTTCCAGCTTCAAGTGGCAATCCAAAATAAAAAGTACATTATCCAAACTAAACACATTACAGCCTACACAAGTAGTCATAGTATTCAAACACATCCCAAAACGAAACATGGATAAGTTTCACAGCTTTCAATTTCCGGAACCTGTTAAAGAAAACAAATAAACGTGGGGTGAGTTAAAACTTAGTGGTGCCTCAAAACATGCAGTCACATAAATCAAACAACGAGTAATAACTTAACCAAATTGAACAGTTAGGAAAGCGTATAACAGCACAAGGTAGGATACAGGGGCTCTCAGGAGCCAATTTCCTCACTTGATCACCATTCATCGTAGTTGACCCTCCGTCAACTCTCACTACTTGTGATCCATGTAGAGTGTCTCATTTTGTTACCTAACCCGTCACCATTCATACCCCTGTCCCGGGCCCGAACGTCGACTAAGGAAGCAGTATACTCGAGATATACCCTTAGAAAATTGGGAGTAGTATACTTGAGTATACCCTCAGGAAATTGGTCGAGGGATTCACCCAACGACATTTCCGTAGTTGGATTCAGGAGTCGAGGGATTCACCCAACGACATTTCCGTAGTTGGATTCAGGAGTCGAGAGATTCACCCAACGACGCAACTACATTTAGATTCACAGATTCATGAGAAAAATGTTTCACGCAAGTCACCACTCGAACGGCTAGTGCGATAAAGTACACACAGCTCACTTCGATGGATCAAAAACTAGTTTTGCAACTTATCACATATTGAGTCAAGAAAGCACTTTAACCAAGTAAGCATAGAACAAGCAGGGACACTCACCAAGAGTGAAGTTCAGATATCAAGTTGGAAATCGAATTCTGCGTCCTCGCAATATCCTAAAAACCAAAATTTGAAACTATAAGTTCTCTATTCAATTTTTAAGCTTGTACGTATTGTGGATTATCTAGTATTTTACTAGTTAACATTCTCAAAGAAATTTCAAAAATCTACTTGGTTTGAAGCTTGACAAAAGTAGTAAAAATGTTTCTTATAGTTTTCCTTGAGATACTTTTCCTTATAAAAGGGTAACTAGTATTATTTTTTTGAAATAAGTCGACAAACCACTTGATATTAGAGCTAGAAAGATACTTTAAAAGATTTCTTTAAAGTTACGGTTCATGCAAAATTTGTCATTAAAACTATTTTTCCTAAAATAAAGTTTCTTGCCAAGCAAGTTTCTACGTTCTTAACTAAAGTTATTAAAAACTCATATTTTGGAACTTTTCCTATAGTCAACTAGCCAAGAACAATTCTTAGAGAAAAGAAAGGAAATAAAACAATGCATAGTGTTTTAGAGCTAGAAAAATTATTTTCTATACTATTAAGGCTAGTTTAGACTAAAAGAAAATTGTTGGGTTGGCAAAATTTAGGGTAAAATACTAAATATTGAATTTTATCATTTAATACTAGCGTAAAATATTTTTGATCAGCTTGGTTCAAATTGCTCGAATTCATAGGATCGAAACGATTTTTCACAAATTCGGTTCCATTTCGAAACCACATTGTGGCTCAAATTTGTCGACATGGCAAAATCACATTGCAAATAGCAAGTCACTAGGGTTTCGTCAATCATTAACCCTAGGTTTCAATAGATTCATTTCTGATCAAGAATAAAATAAATGACCAAGGCTTCGTCAATCATTAGCACTTGGTTTTGGCAAGCTCATATCACATCTCAACTAAATCAAAATGAATGTAATGCCTCCAAGCAATTCCAGCAATTAAATTTCATCACCCTGTAATACTTATAAAATCATTCAAATGGCCAAGGGTTTCATCAATCATTAGCCCTTAGCATCCAGCAATTAGTTCGTAAAGCAGTAAAGCTAACATTTCACAATATTCAAATTCCCAAAGTATCCATTCCAAGACCGATAATTTCATCACAACATTATAATCATAATAACATCAAGTTGTTGCTCCGAAATACACATGCAAAGCCCTCTTAATGTGGCTTAAAGTGAGATCAATCAACATAAGATATTATACCGCTCGAAACAGCATATTTTTAAAACTAAGATTCGCCAAAAGAAATCTGGAAAATTCCTTTACTACTTCTATCAATTCGCTTGAAAATTTTCCAGGTCTATACTTCAACATTTTTGGTCAATTCAACCCACAATTCAAGTATTTCACATCTACATATCTTATAGAACTTTAAAACAGCATATTCCAGGCATTTCCAACCATTATGCTTCAAAGAAAAATTTCAAAACCAAGCTGAGATTCCAACTCAACCTTCGGCTTTCCACAAAGAAAATTTCCAGCATTTATATTCCAACAATATATCGAGTATTTCATCGCTAAGCAACTTACACAGCTTAAAATACACATCTCACATGTATTTCTAAAACCTTACATTCCAAGGAAAAATAAAATGAAAATCCAGAAACCAATTAAAATTTCCAAACACAACCTCTCGGCTATCAAAACTTTTCCGGTACTTAGAGGTTTATAAGTCCAGCTTTTCCTTGGCTAAAACAGAGTGTTATGGGCTCAAATTCAACATGCCATCACTTAGCTAGTTAATTAACATATCTAGCACAGAAATTAAGTTTGATTAACGACAAAAGTCTTCCAAAATTTCCAGAAATTTCTGGCTAGTCTCGGTTGCAGCTGCATGAAAACTGATTGCATTTTGTTTTTATTTTCTGTACTAACTCAACTAATTAACTTCATGCAAAGCTCCATTATCTTGTTATTAACTAGTTAGTTATGGTTATAAGCTCAAAGCAACAAAATTAAACCAAATGAAGCTGCATAATTCAAGACAAGCTCTCGGCAGGAACATTTCATCAAAACAGAGTTTCTTGTGCTCCTTAATTCATCATCCGAATGCACAAAGTTATCATGCAAGGCTTTAAATAAGTTAATTAGTTAGTGATTAGTTACTTAATCGACATTGCAAGTTCAGATTATCAAGGATTATACAGATTAGTTTAGCATTAATCCAAAATAGTCTCGGCAAGTTCAAGATTTCAGCGCATGTCAGTAAATTTTTTTTTCTTCATCCGATGGTTTAAAATCAACATGCAAAGCTGGAACTAACTTATTCATCTTGTCTTAAGTTAGGGAAACACATCTTTAAGTTCAGATTGCCACAGGGAAAGAAAATGAAGCAGCATTTTCACCTCAGCTCCTCGGCTGAAACATTTCATCTAAACAGAATTTTTCTAGTGTCTTGATTTCATCAACCGACTGCACAAGCAACACATGCAAGCTCTGATATGACTTCATCTACTAGTACTTAACTTAATTTAGCCCAGAAATTACCTCAGATACAAGCTAAGCCTACGCACAAGAAATCTGAAATTTCTTTCTTCCTCTCGGCTCTCACGCACAGCTTGAAGTGTTGGTTCCAGTTGCAGTAGTTGCGGCTGGGAAACTGGATGCAGCTGGTGGAAATGGAAGTGCAGAATGGTGAAGCTTACTCACGGTTTCTCCCTAGTTTCACTCCAGCTCACGGACAGAACCAGAAAAATTTCAGCAGCTCGCGGTTTTCTCCTCCCTTGCTCTCGGATGCAGCTCACTCTCTCTTCTCAATCGATACTCACGATGAAGGTGGAGTGCAGTGGTGGTTTGTGATATAGGAATGAAGAGGAAGAGAGATGATGCCACTGTTTTGAGGAGGAGGTTGAGTGTAGGAAGAGATTGAGTGTAGGAGTGGTGAAGATGCGGGTTGGCCGAATGAAGAGGTGGTGATGATGTTGTCCGAGGGATTGTTTGGTGTTGCATGGTAATGTTGTGGTTATATGGTGATTTTGTGGAATTGTGAAGGGTATTTTGGACTTTTCACTTTTCCTTCTAATGACCACTTAAGCCCTTGGTTCTAGTATAAGCTCACGAATTATCCCTAAGAGTGATTTAAACTCCTATTAGTATACTAGTCTCCCGAGAATTTCGATTATCGAAATTTTTACATCCTACGCATACCTAGTATACTTAAACCATTTTTGTCGAAAATTTATCAATTACAATTTAATATTAAAGTTCCTAGTAATTCCTAACATTATTTAGCGATTAAATTAGTTATCAGAATTTTCAATTATTTATTCTCAAGAAATAGAGTTAATCTAACTCGAAATTTATCGATTTAGTATAATAAAGTCAAGTGAAATAATAATTTAATACAAGTGTGTTAGTTTGCACATAAAAATTATTTTTACGCACTTATTGTGAAAACAAAGAAGAATAAGACTATACTTTATTGCAGGTTAAGAAATGCAAATGAAATATGAAATGATCTTTGTATATATACATATTCAGGGTTCTCACATCACTGATTGGATTGCTTGATTGAAGGGTGGTCTCCAAAACCGTGAAGTAGCTACCATTTGCGATTGGGTTTCCTAATTGCAATTGGTTTCCTAATCTTGTTGGTTACCAAATTGTGATTGATTTCCAATCAAGGCACATCCCTACATTTTAGCCATTACTATTCCTACTTTTTAGAGATTGCTTTCCTACATTTTCGCAACATCTCTCCTATTTGTTAGCCTTCATTCCAGCCGCCACCTTTCCCTACTTTTTAGGGATTTCCTTCCTACCTTTTAGCCATTACTCTTCCTACCTTTTTGGAGTTATCTTAGTCATTCCTTTCACCTCTCTTTGTCGACTACCTCTTCCTAAAATTTGGGAAGCTATCTGTCATCTATTCCTTTCCTTTAGAAGGCCATTTGGACCTACTAAACAAGCAAAGTCAGCTTGCGTCTACAAAAAAAAAAAGAGTATTTTTCTCTTTTTGGATCGTATCTTTGTTTTCATTGCTGTCCGTGTCTTAGTCGTCCCTTTCTTGTCATTTGAGTCTTTCTATTTCTTTGAGTCCCTCGAGTCAATCGTCCCTATTTCATTGAGGATTGTCACATTCTCGTGACCCAAAATTGGAAGTTGATTGTTTGCCTGGGAGAAGTTTTATTTTCTTCAAGGTAAGCTATCAAGAGGTTTTGAGAGCATTTGTGAGATTATTAGAGTGCTCTTTGAGTGACATACACGAGAGTTGAGTGTAAACAAGCGAGGGAGTGAGTGAGGCAAATATATATTTGTTTTCTACTAATATTTTTGCAGGTTACATACATCATGTCGGATGAAGGTGACACATCCAAATTTGATCCCAAA